TCTGGTCCTGTTCACGCAGAGCTCCCGGTAGCCTCAGGATGTGTTCCTGGGTGACACCAGCCTCTCCGGAGTGGGGAATGGCTGAGGACCCCATGCAGATGGTGAGGCTGGGGAGTCTCCCCATGTCCCTGTGTCCCCTCGCTCTGCCCACAGGAGAGGCACCGCTGTCTCTGTCCCTTTCCCCATCTTCAACCTCCTCCGGGCCTCACTCCTGAGGACATGGACCTGGTGATCTCCTGCCCAGGACCCCCCAGTCACAATGCCAAAACCTTCAAGGCTCTCGCCACCCACCCCGGGTTTAGAACTAAACTCCAGGTCAGCATTTCCCCTCTCACACCTCTGCTGAGCCGGGCTTGAAGAGCCCTAGAGCATCCCTTGCCCTGTCCCCAAGCTGCCGCCCATGTCCCCAGCACCACAGCAGGGACCCCTCTGTCTGCGGCACCCTCCCACCTGCATCCCCTGGGGCTTCTGCAGGGGCAGATGCCCTAACCCTGGAAAGAAGGCTTCCTGCAGGGCATCCTCAGGAATTGGCCTCTGTGTCGTCCCCCCTCCCCCCCCAACCCAGTGCAGAGCCACCTCCGGAGCCTGTGGGTGCCTGGTGCTCCTTCTGTCTCCAGGGGTAGAAACGTGTAAGATGTCCCCAGAGAATCGCCCTGCAATGACCCCCTCGCCTTCTGCTGCCCCCCCAGTTCTTCCAGGTAGGTGCCTTTTCCTCTTCCTCACCCCCCCCAGCAGGTCTGCATCCCCTTCCCATGCCCAAACCAACAGCTCTGAGCTGGGCATCACCCCCTGCAGCCGCCCTGCCCAGGGCAGGGTTAAGGGGATTTGCAGGGCTGCTCCCCCCATTGCCTTTCCCCAGCTCCAGCCTGAGTTCCCAGAGCTCCTGCACATCCTGCACCCAGAGTAGCTGCTGGTGGAGGTGCTACACAAGGGGAATCATAGAATCATGGAATGGTTTGGGTTGGAAAGGATCTTAAGATCATCCAGTTCCATCCCCCTGCATGGCATGTACAGCCACTGCCATTGTGCAGCACTTTCCAAGGAGGACTCACACTCAGCGTCCTCATGGCCTCGTCTGCAGACCCCGAGGAGGAGGAGGGCTCCCGGAGTGCAGGGTCTGTATAGATTCTATAGAATCATGGAATTATGGAATCATGGAATGGTTTGTGTTAGAAGGGACCTTCTAACCATCCAGTTCCAGCCCCTGCCATGGGCAGGGACCCCTTCCACTAGAGCAGCTTGCTCCAAGCCCCTGTGTCCAACCTGGCCTTGAACACTGCCAGGGATGGGGCAGCCACAGCTTCTCTGGGCACCCTGTGCCAGCGCCTCAGCACCCTCACAGGGAAGAGCTTCTGCCTTAGATCCAACCTGAACTTGCCCTATTTCAGTTTGAACCCATCACCCCTTGTCCTGTCGCTACAGTCCCTGAGCCAGCCGCATGCGGAGGTGGACATGACCACCAACACATTGAGCACCCCCAGCTTCCACACCACCTCCAAGTCCTTCTTCTCCAGTGACAAACCTTTTCTAGGGGACTTTTCCAACCAGAAAGGAGCCAATAAACCGAGTCTGGCCCAACCCAAAGGCTTCCTCTGATCCCAGCACTGCTGCAGCTTCCCCTGCACCCCCTTTGCCAACGCACCCCCTGAGCAGAGCTCACCCCATGGCTCACTGCCGGCCTGGCCCAGGTTACTGTACAGTTACATACGATGTGCACACACATACGGGTAAAGCCATCACAGCCCTGTGGCTTTTCCTAGGCCCTCCTGTCCCCAGCCCGTGCTGGAGGGATGGAGGGATGGATGGATGGATGGATGGATGGATGGATGGAGGGATGGATGGATGGATGGATGGATGGATGGATGGATGGATGGATGGATGGATGGATGGATGGATGGAGGGATGGATGGAGTGAAGAGGCCGGCTTGCAGCTCAGTAGAAGATGCTCTTTACTCGACAGACTCCTCGGGGCAGTGCAGGCAGGTACTGGCATCCCTGGGGAGGGGAAAAGGGGGGGGGGGCGGGGTACTGGGGGGTCTTCATCGCGACTGCTGGGCTTCCGCAGGGTCTTGGCAGATGCCGAAGTCGCTGTTGGTGATGGCACCCACGATGGACATGTCGGCGTCACAGGACAGGCCTCTCTCACAGGGACACTTGTAGTACACCCCGTAGAGGCTCTGCGGAGAGCAAGGCTCGGTGCAGCGGGGGCGGCCGGCCCGGTTCCCGCTGTGCCCCCGGGCGCAGGGCGGCACGTACCTTCCTGGAGCACTCCTGGAGCTCGGCCGCCTTCGGGGCGCAGCGGGCCAGGCTGAGGCCGCTGTCGCGGTGGCAGCAGTGGCTCTTGCACTGCGCGCTCTGCAGACACAGCTCCCCCGCGTCCTGCACCGCGGGGCGCGCCGTGAGGCCGGGTCGCTGCTCCCCCCTGACCCCCGCTCTGGGGGGCGTCGGGAGCCAGCTCTGCCTCTCCTCTGCTCAGCAGCACCCCCGAGCCTCCCACCCTGCAGCGGGTCCTTGTGCAGGCCCCAGCGCCCCCTCTCACTGCTGTTTTCTGCTGGATTCATGGGAATAGGGCTGGGGCGGCGCAGGGAAAGCCTGTTCCCCGTCCCCATTCCTTGTGTGAACGGGAATGGCTGGCACAGGCAGCTGACAGCTGCCGTCTCGTGCGCTTTCAGGCTTCCATCGCCTTTTACACAGCTGCTTTCCCAGGCTCCAGGACCCCTCACAACCCTAGGAAGCCAACCAGGCCATCCCTTCCGCCTCAGTTTCCGCAGTCACAGCACGTTTTGCTCTCGTACCCCTCCAAGCCCCCTGCCGTGCCCCATTGCAGCACTCGGACTGTCCCAAGGGTGGGGGTCAGTGTCCTTCTTACCAAGTTGAAGACGAGCCCTCGCTCCTGTTCCATGGGCACAGCCTCGGCCAGGAGCAGCATGGCCAGGAGCATGCAGGGGTACAGGACGTTGGCCATGGTGGGCTCGCTTGTGGCTTTGCCATGGGGCAGGCGGGTGCTTTATAGCCGGTGGCTCCGTCAGCTGATGCGGCTGCTCCTATCGCACCCCAGCTCGTGGCATCGGGGCAGCGAGGCCAGTGCTGCCAAGGCTGTCCCCACGTGACAGTCCCACGATGCCCACATCCCCCTTGGCACCTCCTTTGGCAAAGAAGTGACGGCATTCCTGCATTTCCCAGTGGGAATTTCCACTCCTCCCTCCTCTCTGAGGTGCCCTCCGTGCTGGGTGCTGATGACGGGCTCACAGGGAGAGCTGGCGCTATGGCAGGAGCTCCATCAGATCCTGCACCCCTCAAACGTCACCAGCGCAGACACCAAGAAATCCGCTCGAGAAGCCCCAAAGCGTGGCAGGAGCCAGTCCAGCCCCTGCTGGTGTGGCCTCACTGGGTGCTCTGGAGCCCACCGAGGTCCCCAGCCCATGGGGGCCTGTGTCCTGCCAGATATTTTGCGGCTGGTTATTTTGCGGCTGATGAAAGGAAAACAGCCCTGGGAACGGCACAGCTTTTCCTGCCTGGCAATGCTTATGCTTATGGCCTTCAGTGGCCGCAGGCGTGATGTTGAGGCTGGTGCTGGCTGTGGGGTGACCATGGCGCTGGCACATGCCTCTGTGGTCCCTTGGGATGTGGGGCAGATGCGGCTTCTCCAGTATCTGAAGGGGGGCTACAAGGATGCTGGAGATGGACTCTTCATCAGGGCCTGTAGGAACAGGCCAAGGGGAATGGCTTTAACTTGCCAGACGGGAGACTGAGATGAGCTCTTAGGCAGAAGCTCGTCCCTGTGAGGTCCCAGAGAAGCTGTGGCTGCCCCATCCCTGGCAGTGCTCAAGGCCAGGTTGGACACAGGGGCTTGGAGCAAGCTGCTCTAGTGGAAGGGGTCCCTGCCCATGGCAGGGGTTGGAGCTGGAGAAGCTTTACAGCAGGGATTGGAACTGGATGAGCCCTTCCAGCACAAACCATTCTATGGTTCAGTGGTTCTGTGATTCTGGAGAGAGGTCCCCTGCAAGTGCCCACAGCCCATTGGGGCTGCCCATGCTGCTGTGGGGTGTCGTGGCAGCCCCATGAACTGTTTCTCTTTCCACATGGGACTCTGGGGCAGTCCCCTCCCTGCCTGCAGCTACAGCCAGCCCTGGAGCTGACAGGCCATCCAGCCCCCACCACGGTGATGGGGCTTCCTCCACCCAGTGGAGGAAGACTCTGGTGACACCAGCAGGCAGGGCAGAGGGGAGCAGCCACAGGAGCACAGCACCCAGGGGACATTCTGGGGCACACGGCACATGCTGGGGGTTCCAGCACATCCCCTGGCACATCCTGAGGCACACATTTAAGGCAACACACACCCTGGGGAGCATCCCAGCATTGCCCAGGGTTGCATGGTGCAGCCCAGGCCCATCCTGACACACATCCTGGGGGAACGTGGCACAACCCAGCAAACACAGCATGTTATGAGAGGCGCAGTGATGCACAGGGTGCACCCCAGAGCACACATGGTGCATCCTGAACAGAGCCCAGGGCAGGTCCTGGTGCGCACACTGGGGACACAGGGCTCGGCCCACAGGCACTGGGCACATCCCAAGGTGCATCCCGCAGTGGAGGCACAGGGCACATCCCAAGGGAGCATCCTAGGGGTGCAGAGCACAGCTTCGGGACACATCCCAGAGGCAATGTGCCTTGGGGCACAGGGCACATCCTGGAGCTACAGGGCTCATCCCAGAGGCAGATCCTCGGGTGCATCCTGCGGACACAGGGCCCATCCCAAGGGCACATCCGGGGCTGCACGCCGGGGACACAGGGAGAATCGTGGGGGTGCAGGGCCCATGCCGGGGCTCACCCTGGGGACGCAGGGCACATCCCGGCGGTGCAGGCCTCATCCCGGGGCTCCTCCCGCTCCCCCAGCTCAGGACCGGGGTCGCGCCGGCTCCTCCCGGCTCCTCCCCTGCCCTTTGCCGGTGCCGGAGGGGGGGGGGGTCCTCGCCACCGCCCCCCGGGGCGGTCCAGCCGCCTCCGGAGCCTTCCGCCGGGGCGGGGCAGCGCCGGGCGCCCGCGTGCGGGGCCGGTGCCGGTGCCGGTGCCGGTGCGTGAGCCCCCGCCATGCCCGAGCTGCTGCCGGCGCAGGAGGCGGCGCGGATCTACCACACCAACTACGTGAGGAACGCGCGGGCCATGGGGCTGCTCTGGGCCCTCTTCACCCTCTGCTTCTCCATCCTGATGGTCGTGACCTTCATCCAGCCGTACTGGATCGGTGACAGCATCGACACGCCGCAGGCCGGTTACTTCGGCCTCTTCTCCTACTGCATCGGCAACGCGCTCACCGGGGAGCTCATCTGCAAGGGCAGCCCCCTCGACTTCGGCACCATCCCCTCCAGCGCCTTCAAAACAGCCATGTTCTTCGTAGGCATCTCCACTTTCCTCATCATCGGCTCCATCCTCTGCTTCAGCCTCTTCTTCTTCTGTAACGCAGCCACTGTCTATAAGGTCTGTGCCTGGATGCAGCTGGCAGCAGGTGAGGGGGCTCGGGGTGATGCTCGGGGGCGGGGGATGCTGATGCTCCATCCGGAGCTGCTTTTCCCTCTTTGCTTCTGCCGGGGGAGAGCCTGGCCAGGAAGTGGTCCCCAGTGCAACCTTCAAGCCCCATTTGCTCCGTTACTGGTTACCAGTGGCGACTTTGCAGCAGGCAAAGCCTGTCAGAGCAGCTGAGACCCAGCAGACTCCTGATGCTCCATGCTCCGTGCTGCAAATCCAGGCAGCAGCGGGGTTGAGACTTCAGAGCATCATCAGTCCAAGAGCACTGAGCGCTGCAGGGCCTCCTGTGTGCCGGATCCTGCGGGAATTAAGCAGGGAGACAGTGCTGGTGTTTGCTGGGTTATTGTGGTAACTCCCTGAGCTCAGGGGATGATGTACTGGGGAAGTGGAACAGGAGGAGGGGACTGACTGTAACACTCGGCACCATCACCCACAGTTTCCTGTCTTTCTGCTCTTCCCCACATCCCTCTGCTCATCCCCGTGGATCTCCAGCCTTCTCCATTTCTCCCCTGGCACAAGAAGACACCTGAGACACTGGTAACCCAGCTCCTGTGGTTGAAGCCTCGGCTGAAACCCAACCCAGCCACTCCTGAATCATTCATGGATTCAATCTGTCGTCCCGTGGCAGGGACCCCCCACGGCATCGGGGCTGCTCCAGATCCTGGCTGAAGAAGTGAGCTCAAGCCAAGATTTTGATAAGAGGCTTGGGGCAGCTCAGCCTCCTGGGGAGCGCTAGCAGGGAAGGGCTTTGCTGTTGTATTTGGGGCTTTTACATATGTTTTTGTGCTGGATGGCGGAGAGAAACCTGATGCAGGTGCTCAGCCCACATAGATGAGCCTGAATCATCCCTCAGCTGGTTTCTCTGCCCTAAACAGAGAGCTTTGGAGCCATCTCGGGGCTGGTGCTGCAGCATTTCTGAGGGTTATTTTATGAAGGTGACAAGAGGATCTATTTTGTGGCTTTTGCTGTGCTCCAGGGTGCCTCTTCCCCAAAGAGGTGGTTTCTGGGCAGCTTACCCTATTTCTCTGTGCCCCTGCTCCCTGCTAGCTACAGTAATCAAATACAGGAAAAAACAGCTGCTTCTCAAGTAAGAGAAATGCTCCCTGCAGTCCGGGATGCTGCTGGCTGGCATTGCCACTCTTCTGTCCCCAGGGAAAAACCATCAGCAAAGCGTGAGGCAAATGTCCCCTGAGAGAGAAGAGGCACGAGGCCATGGCAGGGAGCAGCTTGCTGCTGCAGGAGGCTGCAGATGTCCAAGAAGAGCAGAGACAAACATCTGCTTCGTAGAACCATGGTTTGGGCTGATACCAAGTCCAACTGAATCACATCCCAGAGCCTCACGGATGAGCTCAGCTTCTCCCTCCTGAGCCTGGTCATTCTTGTCGAGCAAACACAATTTCTCTGAATGTGTGTGTGGGAAAAAAGAAAAAGGCGCTTTGGAGATCTTGGGACATTTTTGGCAGAAGATGGCCCTTTGGCACTGAGTTTGTTGCCACTCCTGTGGCAAAGCCACAAAGGCAATGTGCAGAGCCTGCAGTCTTGGGCTGTGTGTGCTGGGGTTGGGTGTTGGGAGCAGCCGCAGGAGGGGCTGGTGGCTCATGGCTGGGCTGGAACCACCACAGCTGAACAAGCGGAATTAATCTGCAGAGCTGCTGCCGGCAGCTCTACCTTAGCAAAGCATGAGCTAAAATCTGGCCAGGCATGAAGCAACAGCAGGTTCTCCACCTTGCACAGACTAAACCCATCCGGGTGTTGCTTGGAGGAAGTGTTTCTTTGGAGGCACAGGGCCTGGGATGTGTGAGGAGGCAGGAGAGGTGTTGCCTGGGCAACGCAACAAAGGGAGATGCTGCAGCAGTGTGTCCTTGATAGGGAGCTCCTTGGAATGCAGTGCGCTGTGCCCTGCTCCTCCCTGGCTGCAGCAGTGGCAGTAGAGCAGAGCCATGTGTGACCAGCAACCACAGAGCTCTTTAAGCCTGGTTGGTGGCATGTAGTATCTTATCTGTCCATAGCATCATGGTCATGCTCTTAGAATCATAGATTAGTTTGGGTTTGAAGAGACCTTAAAGCTCCTCCAGCTCCAACCCCTGCCACGGGCAGGGACCCCTTCCACTAGAGCAGCTTGCTCCAAGCCCCTGTGTCCAACCTGGCCTTGAGCACTGCCAGGGATGGGGCAGCCACAGCTTCTCTGGGCACCCTGTGCCAGCGCCTCAGCACCCTCATGGGGAAGTATTTCTTCCTAGTATGTGATCTAAATCTTCCACCTGCCATCTCCACACACCAGCTCATCGGGCAGCTTGTGGCTGCTGTCCCTGGCTGTGGCAGTTGGGCTGGCAGTAGATGATGTTTAAGGTCCCTTCCAACCCAAACTATTCCATGACTCTGTGCTGTCACATCTCCCTCTCCCCACAGCTACTGGGCTGATGATTGGTTGTCTGATCTACCCTGACGGCTGGGACTCAACCGAGGTGAAGCGCATGTGTGGGGATAAGACGGACAAGTACACACTGGGTGCCTGCACTGTCCGCTGGGCCTACATCCTCTGCATCATCGGCATCCTTGATGCTCTCATCCTTTCCTTCCTGGGCTTTGTCTTGGGGAACCGACAGGACAACCTCCTCCCATCCGATTTTAAAGTGGAAAATAAAGGTAAAGGCAGCTGTGAGCACCTGTCCTGCTGCTGAGGGTTCTGACCGCAGCTCTTTGGAAGGACAGTGGCTTCCTTCCGTGGGAGAAGTGGGATTGCTGTAATGAGCATCTTGCTGTGTCCTAGTACTACAGCAAGCCAGCAGCAGGCTGAAAATCAATGGAGCACAAGGCAGGAACCCAGACTGAGCTGAGGGGCTTCACCCCGTCCTGCTTTAAATTGGTTTTATTCCTTTTTGAAAGCAAACCTTGCAAAACACAGCCACACCTTCAGTTTTACACCACAACCCATTAACATCATTCTCTTTTTGTTTTACAGAAGAAGAAAACCACTAACAGAGCTACTCACCATGTAAGTGATCCCCCCGGGGTGATTTCTGCTGTTTCTCCTCAGCATGTGTAGCACTGCTGTTGTATTTTGATTACTAAAGGATTGACAACTCTGTATTTTGGGCTATAGTCAGACGGGGTTTAGTTGTGGTTAAAGGGGAATTAATCTTTGCTTTGCCTTCAGGGAAAACATAAATCCTTGCCAAGTGACTAAAAAAAAACAGCTTACAGTTTGAAGTCATTTGGCATTGGGTGACAAGTGACCTTCCCTCTGTTCTCAGGGACACCCAGAGCTCAACTTCCATCAGCCCTTCTCTTTAAAGTGACTTTTCCAAGAGCCTCAAACTTACTGCTGTGGATTTCTACAATTGCTCTTCCTGCCTGGCTCAGAGCACCCCGGAGCTGCTTTGACAGAAAAGCCCAAACTGGACTCAGGTTTTAGCTTCTGGAGTCCACCAGCAAACCTGGCAAGAGGGGAGGGATGGTGATTTGTTGCTGCTTGGGTTTTGTATACCTTCTTTCAAGGAAATCGATTCCAAATTAAAAAGAACGAGTGTTTGGGATTTCATTCATCTCCTTGGAGCAGGGGAAGTCGTCTGCCAGGTCCCAGGTTGTACTTAAAAAGACCCAGCCAATGCCTAGAAAAGCTTTGTATCAGCTTACTACTCTGGGCAGCAGTAACCACAGCACCTTTCAAAGAGAGCACTTTTGGGGGGAAAACCCAGTGTGTGAGGCCACAGGTCTGCAACAGCACCCACCAACAGTGGATGTTGAGCTGTGGATGCTGCCAGGCAGGGGCAACACACAGCAGTACCCGAGTAATCTGATTTAGCCACATTTCTCACCATATCCAGCACCTGCACCAGCCTTTGGCCTACAGAGAACAAAGCAGCACATCGCCCCATCCCGTTCTTGCCTAGTCAGAACCCACGGCAGCCTGGACTGTGATTTTTCTTTCTACTTGCTTTCATTTTTTGGTTCCTGCAGCAGCCAATTCCCTTCGGTTCCGACAAACACCTTCCAGTCTGGGATGCTTGTGTTGCGACTCTTTGCTAGGAAGAAGAGCAGATATATGAGAGACTTGAAGAAAAGCATATTTAAGAGTGGGAAAATAGCAGCAGAGCTGCCCTGCTATTGATTATTCTTCTCTTTTTAAAATGGATCATAGTATCAGCAACAAAATCTTCACCTGCATCCTCTCCCAGTGTCTCATTCTGCAAATCACAACTAAGAGCTTGCCAGCAAAGAAAATGCAACCACTGGGCCATGTCTCAGAAAGGACACTTACAGAGGGAGCGTAAGAGGAACAGGGCTCAGTCATTAAATAATCTGTTTATTGTTACGGCTTTCACAAGGAAAAAATAAGACAAAGCACCCAAATAGAAAGAATAAAAATGTATTTTCCTTCAGGTTTTAGACTGACACAGCAAGTACAAATCCTTTAGTGTGAGCACTTTACGGCAATTTGGAGATTTAACAAACCCCAAGCAAATGAGCACACAGTACAAGACTGAATCCTGACAGTGGCTTCTGCAGGTCTTCAACTCACAAGCTGGCTTTAGCCTTGGCCATCATCGGAAGAACCTTCCTCCTCCAGTCTGGTGTGGCAGAGGGAAGGAACTCTTGGAGCTGAAGGTGCAGATCCCTTCTGGGAAAAGATCTTTAATGGGCCAGTCTCAAGTGCACAGGACCAGGTGAGCTTTCCAGACAACAGAAATTGTTTGCAATTTGTCAACGTATCTTCACAGTATGCAGAGAGCAGGTATTTTGGAACCCAATCCTGTCTGCAGTCCTTCTGTAACAGGTATGGAAGAACACACAACTGGAGAACTCCAGGTGAAAGTGAAAAAGTCAAATCAGCAGGTTAAAACTCTTTTGGTATATGACCTTCCTTTAATTTTAGATTATATGCATAGAGAACCTGATCTACCCCTAAACGAACATGCAGCATGATTTGCATTATAAGCCCAATCAGGCACTGGACCAGAGAAACTCTTTTCAAGTGGATTAAATGACACCAAGGTTTATGAATCAACGATCCTTACAAAACAGATTCCCAAACACTCATACAGAAGCAACACATTAACAGTGGTCTGGGCAGCTTTGGCAGTGTAATCCTCTTGGATTGCATCTACGTGGCCTCCAGCATTTTCCTGCTGTGACTTCTGGCCTCTGAGTGCCACCACAAATCCAAAGGCCTGTTTGGTCCAGGGTAAGGAAGTGCTTCTGAAGTCTCAATGCTGCCAAATCTTGTTTTAGAGAAGGATGCACTGAATCTGTAATAGGATCAGCAAGTCTAGAAGGAAGCCATCATAAAACTATCAAATGCCACAGTGATTTAATTAAAATTAACCCATTTCCTCACTAGATCCAACCCCCTCTGAGCTTATACAGAAACCCCATAGAACATTTGGGCTTGGGGTAACTCAAAACCAGCTTCTAATCCAGTTCTACATGGAGAAAGTCCACTTCTGCTACCTCTCCTTGTGCTAATGGCCCAGAAAATAAAAGGCAGTCCCATCCTGGGAAGTTCTTTCTGAAGGCCAGCACCTGAAGCAAGCGAAAAAAAAGGTCTTTACACTGGGCCTTCAAGGGTTGATTTGGAAAGTCAAGGGCTATAGTGTGGCTGTCATACAGATGCCACTCGGGGAAAAAAAGACAATGGTCAGAAATTAAAAACCAGAGTAAACTGCCTCAGTGAAAGCCTCATGGATACAGCAGCTGCCTCAAGCAAGGCAAAAAAGTGCCACTAAGGGATTAAAAAAGAACCCCAACAAAACAACCAACAACAAAAAACCCTTACAGCTCACTAAAATGCTTCAAGAGTTGCCTGCAACAGGGCTCCCTCTCTACACCCAAAGGGTGCACCCATCTGTATGCTGAGGATTGTGCGTGGAGTTAGTTCCAGCTTTTGCTTGTCACCTTTGAGGCACAGGCATTGCAGTAGAAAACGTCACTGAGTTCACAAACTATTCTATATGGGCACAGGGAAGGATAAAGTAAAGGAGCAGGGCACTTTGGAGGAAGAACTAAAGGATCCTAAAACCTAGGTTTAAATAGCTCTTTTTAAAAGGTTTAAGCAACTAGAACTAAAATTATGTGAGTGGAAAGCAAAGAACGCAGCACGCACCTTGAAAACTATGGAGGATTTCAAGACCTTTGCTCTACAAGGAACTAATGCCACCTTGGTGCCATCTGTTATTTCTCACCCCATTTCTGGGCCAACAGTGGGAAACTGACTCCTGACTCAGGGAGATAAGGAGGTGTTCACATCTTCACATCCCTCCCCTGGGAAGAGAGTTGAAATTTAGCTAAGGGAGCTTACTGAGCACAGCTGAGCTGTAACACGTGGGACGTAACAGTGAGGAGACTCAAAGGAAAAATTTCATATTCTACTCAATCAGTCTTTGGCAAAGTCCAATCAAGGCAAAATACAGATGATGCCCAGTGGCTGAGGAGAGTCCCCATGGAGTCACACAAGCAAAGTCAGCAGAACAGGTTAGATTTATCTAAAATCTTGGAAGCCTTGAAGGAAGAGCTTCACACCGAAAATGGAAAAGGATAAAAGAAGATCTGGGGAAGGGGCAGCTGGGTGCATGTAGGCTATGCTGTAAACCAGAGTGTAGTGCTGTGGCATTGGGCTGAAGCTTCTAGGAGTTAAGCCAGGGGTGCCTGAGACACTCTGCTGCTGTAGCTCGTTTCTCTGGGATCAGCTCCAACATAGGTAATAAGAAGTCTGTGAATGCAGCTGCCTCGTCTTGGGACCACTCATATTTTTCCACCAAGACTTCAAAAAGGCCCCAGGGCTTCAGTTTAGTTATGTGCTTCAGGTCACCTGAAAACCAAGACAGACAGGTGGTGTGAGACATGGGAAAAGAGCAGCTGAACAAAATAGGCCAAACAGGTGAACAAGACAGACTGAGCTCAGAAACTGTTCTAATAGTTGGGGCACAGGGAGCACAAAATGCTAGGGCATGCTGGAGGAAGAAAAATTATACTAAACCCCCTTTCTATCCACTTTTGAAGACTGCTCTGTAAAGGTACTTCCTTGATGGCTTCTTTTTCTTCCCCTCCTGCTATTTCTGGTCCATTATCAGCAAATATTAGCTTCATTAAATCACCAATTACACTAGTTGACATGGTGGACAACTGTGCCAAACACTGTGGAATACATGCAATACACAGAATCATAGAATGGCTTGGGCTGGAAAGGGCCTTAAGATCATCCAGTTCCACCTCCCTGCCATGGGCAGGGACACCTCACATTAGACTGTGTTGCCCAAGGGTCTGTCCAATACATGCAGCACTGTCTGAGGAAGCAATATACTACTGACAAAAAAGGGTTTGTTTTGTTTAATAAAAGTATTTTACCTTCTTCTTGAGGCTCAATATACTTCTGGGGTACTTAGAGCTTTATGATAGGGGTATAATCTGTCCTGAGCAACATGGCACAGGATGCAAGGCACTGTTTAGGTGTCTGGCAGGCTGGAAATGGGACAAAGCTGTCTACAGAAGACTTCAAAGGTGAGACAACACCTCCAACTGACAAAGATCAGCTAAATAAAGCCAAATCAAGTCTGAAGAAGTATCTACAGTACTGTTTTTCTACCTGCTGCATTTGATCAACATCAAGATGTCCAGTAGGATGTAGGATACCTTGAGCAGTCAGACAAGAATGCCTTGTATTTAGCTGTAGTTTTACTGATGAAGTCTTTCATAAAAGAAAGGAAAGGCTTAAAGAAGCATCTTTGGAAGCATCTGTTGTAAAATGGGATTTCCAGCAAGGCACTCATGTATCTGGCACAGAGGATGAGGGATAAGTGACATTTGCTTTGTTTCCTTTTACCTTTTTTGGTGAAAAACTCCTTGGAATATTTTCCTGCCAAAATGAGCTTGCGAGGTATCTTCCCCAGAAGTTCTATGATCAATGCAATGTGATCTGCAGTTTTTCAAGAGAAAAGACAGTGAGACAAATTCATACAAGACATCTCTATGCCCCAGTTTCCTTCTCTGTGTTACAAGGACAAAGACATCGTCTCCCTTAAAAATCACTTTGAGATCCACTTTGAAATCGGATTACGCTAAGCAGTGACAAAGTCAAGGGGGAAGTGGAATAAAAAAGGAAAGGAGAATTTGAGAAAATGATCATTTTGCGAAGCATGATAAGAGAATAAGCAGTAGGAGGGACTGGAAACACCAGAACAAGAACATGGACTTTACTGCACCATGCGTTACCACAGAGCACAGCTGGTGCTGATTTGGGTAAAGGATCTTTTCACAAGGAGCCTTTGCATTGATAACTCATAAGAGAAGGTGTCATTTGAAAAAGGAAAGACTTTGACAATCATACCTTCATCCCGTGAGTAATCCTCCCCAGAATGAGGCTCGAACAGATAGTCTCCTGTTGCTAATTCAAAGGCCTAAACACACAGAAAGGAGCATGTTAAATCACTTTAATACACCTCACACAATGAGATGTGCTGCAGGGTGATTCTGATTCTCTCTGTGGGCCAGAAGCAAAAAACCTGCAGAACTCTGGTACACCATTAT